TTTTTTTTTAAATCAACACTTTTTCACAGAATTTTTTCAAATCTCTATCTGCATTCCGTAGTTCTGAAAAACCTTTTTACTTTGGTACTGCTCTTATCAGCATTGAACAAACTTGCTTCAATTGATTCAGAAACGTTTTGACAAACTCTAGTTGTCGCACTCAGCGAGTGTTAATTCAGCCTTCTGAACCGATTAGAAGTTTAGTTAGCATTTACTCAGCGAGCAAAACTCTTCTAAGATTATCATTAAACGTTCACTTCTATAATATCTGTTTTCTTAAACAAAGACTCCTCAAACATTTTACTGATTCTTTAACTGTTTACTTTTTTCTGAGATAAAAACAGGTGTTAAAAAATGCAAAACTTTTTCTTCTCAGATAACAATTGGTACAGAAAAAAATTTAAAGCAGAAGGAAAAAAAAGCCATAAAACAGAAAAGCAACGAACAGTAAAAAAAGTTGCTTGTTTGACACGAGAACTTTTGTTTTTCTGGACTACTTTTCAAACTTATACAGGTCTATAAATAAAGTAAAGTTTAAAAATTGCTAACATTCTTTCAGGATTTACTTCATAAGACTACGCAAAAAAAGAAGATGTCTCAAAACTATAAAAAATCTCATTTTAATTTTCCGATAATTAAATCAGACAACTGACAATTGAACAATCTGAAGATGACTCAAATTTTTAAAAAAAAGCTCTATGTATCAATTTATTTTTTATTATTTTACGACAGATAAAGACTTTCAGTAAACTAATAGACAGTTCTCATATAAACTAAGATTAGCACTTGGTGATCAAACAAACAGAAATACTGATTAAGAAATTAATAATCAAAAAGATAAAACTAAATCAAATTTGTATCAAACCTGCATTATTTCACATATCTATGTGAGAATAAAAAAGGATGAAATATACTTATACGTAAAGTGATGCAAAAAAAAGCACTTATGCAGTAAAAAATCTGAGAAACAAAATTGTTGAAGGTTAAAACATCTTAAATAATATTCTCCTTTCTATTTATGGATCACCCACTAAACTTCTCACTAACATGTATAAACACTTCATTTATTTCTGTGTTTATATTAGATTCTATTGCCATAAATAACACCAAAATTGGCAAAGACAGTACAGTTGAATACGTTTGCTGCTCATTACTGTAGTTTTAAATTTTAGTTGTTACAGCTTAACAATATCGTAAGTTTAATTTTAAAAAAAATATTGATAGAACCTCAAGGGGAATAAGTTTTGTAATTGTTTATTACATGAATATCCTAAATAAATTTCATAGACAATAGCCAGTTTAAACCAGTACCTGGTATTGTTTTTGGGTAGATCTTTGTGTTCTAATTCGATAAACTATTCAAAGAAAGTTGATAACTATTGAAAAAAATTTTTTTAAGTTTTAATTTTCTCAATTTAGA